ATACCCCTATTTTGGTTTTCAATCCAATTGTATTTAAATGAAATTTTAAAAAAAAAAAAAAAAAAAAAAAAAAAAAAAAAAAAAAAAAAAAAAAAAAAAAAAAAAAAAAAAAAATCGGCCGACATTTTTTTTGGTACTACGGCTTTCAGTCCGTGTCAGTGCGGTTGGTTGGAGTATCAAAAAATTTAAACTGCTACCCAACAGTTGTAATTCAACATTAATGCATTTATTTAGGAAAATTGCTTTCAACTGACTGAAGATGAAACCCGTACTAAGTGTAATTAAATTCGTGCAGGCATGTCAATGTTGAAGGTTAGCTTTTATGTAACCCCGGTTATAAAGGATATAATTTAAAAATTATTTTATGATCGAATGTTTTATAATCGAATTAATTCATTTTGTTTTCGGTGGCGATTGAATCACATTTTTGTTTGTAACCTCCATGCGTCACAGTGCACTTGATGCGGAAGTAGAATATAGGAAGCGGTTATGTTTATGACATATTTGTATATGTACATACATATGTATGTGCATCACTACTAACAAAGGTTTATAGATAGTATTACAATTATTTACATATAAAAATACCTATAGCATAAGTTATAAAGTAATTTTGCAGCAATATTATATTTCTAACGGTTATTTGAAACGAATCGAGATAGACTCATACGTGCAGCATAATGGGAACTAATGTTCCACTAGTGGACTCCACCCATTTTTTCATATTATAATTTCAAATTTCATATTATAACTTTAAATTATAAAGAAATATTAAAATATTTTAGATCAATCTTGCCGATGACGCTATATCTTGTACATTAGTTTTGTGTATTAGCATGTTGTATGGATGCATACATGTGTGTGATACATATTTACTTACGTAGGTTGCCTTTTATATTAAATTTTGGGATTTGGCAACACTAGTTTTGTAATTTGGAAACTCATAATATAATATACAGTTTGAATTTGTTGATGGACCGAATATTATTATTCAAATAATGCGTTATCTGGTTAGTAGAATACCAGGAGCTATGGTATGCATATTCAGAACGTTTTGATCAACTCATCTAGAACCAGTGTAGATCACTCCAAGATGAATTTCGGGAAGGTCGTCCAAAATCAGTTGTTGGTCCGGAAATTGTTGACACCCGAACTGTATGAGTGTTTCCAAATGAGCCGAAATCAACAAAATTTGTTGGCGCACAAAGCTCTTTCAGCATGTGGTTGCCTGTTAAATAGCTCAAAAATTATTTTATTGAGTATTAATAAACTTACTTTGAACATTGGATGATTATAACATACTATACATAAATATGTATATAATTAATTAAAAATATGTTAATCTTTTTTCAGATCAAATCAGAGAAATTTGGTATCTTGAAATGTCGGTGGTTTGAATTGGTTCGAATTACCTCAATATTCTCTGGTCACCGCTTACGCGTTTATAGCCGAGTTAACAACCGCGCGCCAGTCGTTTTTTCTTTTCGCTACGTGGCGCCAATTAGATATTCCAAGTGAAGCCAGGTCCTTCTCCACTTGGTCCTTCCAACGGAGTGGAGGTCTTCCTCTTCCTCTGCTTCCCCCGGSGGGTACTGCGTCGAATACTTTCAGAGCTRRAGYGTTTTCVTCCATCCGGACAACATGACCTAGCCAGCGYAGCCGCTGTCTTTTAATYCGCTGAACTATGTCAATGKCGTCGTATATCTCGTACAGCTCATTGTTCCATCGAATGCGATATTCGCCGTGGCCAACGCGCAAAGGACCATAAATCTTTCGCAGAACTTTTCTCTCGAAAACTTGCAACGTCGTTTTTTTTTGGGGTGGCGTTTTTCATTGGGGTGGTTTTTTTACGTGGCGGGTTCCAAACCCAGCTCACAACCCTATGCAGGGAATGTTTCGCCTTCTCACTTTGACTCGCCTTCAAACGGATGTTCTTAGGCTACCCAGAGGATACTTGGTCATGGACCGGAAGTCGTGAGCTGCTTGAGTCATATGTAAAAGAATCGTTTCTGTCCACTCCCAAGTGAATGGCGATCAGAGAACTTTCCTCACTTGCGTGAATTTCTACACATGACTACATATGACCTCCTACACACCTAATACAGTGAAATTCCTCATAACCGGAAACCCAACTAAACAGCTAAGAGTGTTGTTCATATATGGGGCATGACAAAAACGGGTGTTTAAATATATTCTTAGAGTCAAAAGCTGCAACTCAGGACTATATTTCAATTTAACTAATAAATGCGATTCGATGTCAGCCAGGAGTGAATGAATGGCAATTATCCCATTAGTTTCCGTTGAGTCAGATGGCATTAGCGCCAGACAATTTGTTTGCTGTGATCACTTTACGTATTCTTAAAAAATTGTCTCAAAACACCTACAATTAATAAGAATTGGAAAAAGCGGAAACTATACATTGTACGCAATTTCTTTGACACATTTTATGTAATCCGTTTGTCCAGTTATTGGAGATAATTTCAACGAAATATTACCAAAATAGTAATCGTGTCCGGTCATAGGAGCAGTTTTACGTCCAGTAATAGGAATTGATTTTATTTGAAAATATTAAAGGAAATGTTGTGTTTTTGAAATTGTTGGGGGAATAACACTGTATATAAATGAGAAAGGAATGCGTAGATACAATCCACATAACTCTCGGTATTACATTGCATTGTAGTGTAGATGTGTGTGTAGTGTGCAAAATAACGTTTACGACTCTCATTCATTTTCTGAGGGTTAAATTTACCAAACTGACATCTAGGTGGCGCTTTACAAGAGTAATGCGTATTTTTATAATAGTTTAGAAATTTTATTTAAGTTGATGTTTGAACATAAATTATATAATATTCATTTTTATTTTTGCTGTTAATTCATTAATTTGGGGACCCAGTCGATCAAAATAAAGCCGGTAAGTACCTGAGTGATGTATAATTTAAACTTTGTGTCTGGGCGTAAGCAACACTTTTACTCAGCTGTTTGTATTTTTAATATATGTATGAATGTAGGAATGTGTGTTTTCTATTTACTTAGTTAAAAATATTGAAAGACAACACTAATTAAAGTACCTGCAAAGAATAGTTTTGTGTCTGAGCGAGAAAATTTCATAAAATACACTTAAATTTAAAATTTGTGTAAATTTTAACAATTTTTGGACTTGGTGTGAGTTTTTTCCATATGACTGCAATACTTTTCTATTCGGACACGTTGTGTAATTTACTTTCACTTGTTTCACTGCTGAGCTACCAGGTAAGTTACAGGTTCAATGTTACATATATTTTAAGATATTAAAATTAGTGAGACGAATTTTTGTCATATTGGGGATAAAATCTGTGATTGTCCATTCTTCGTCGCCACTATTGGGTGCGTGCGGTTTCTAAAGCAAGCAATGAAAATGCACACAGTAATCAGTAATTGAATATTTACATACTTACATAAAAGATGGAGCATACTGATTGTATGCTCTAAACGTGATGTATGATGGTATTTCATACTTTATTTATAAAAATAATATCATTAATTATGGAAAAAACAAACAAAAAACTTAGATTTGTGAAATATTCATATGTATGTTTATATGTACAAATGCATAGAATTCATAATACGGGATGATTTGAACAACTTGTGGTTTTTGTGTTTTATTTAAAATAATAAATATGCTCATTTCCCTTATTTGAAAAAAAAATAGTGCTTTTAAAGTAAACCTTCTTAAATCTAAAAATTGTTGAAATTGACAAAAACTTCTCTAGGACTAGCTTACTTGGGTACGTTTATGATAAGGAATTTCGATTTTCCGGTTGACCTTGACGTTGAATATGATTCTGCATGTAGCTAAGTATGTTTATCTTCAGAGCGAGATAATATGTTATACATATGTACTATATATGTATTTTTATTATCAAGTAAAAGTAATAAGCTAAAAGACTCTTGAATAAAATATTTTAAAATAAAGTATTGTAAAAGATAAGAGGACACCTGTGCATACAGCAACAATTACATTATATGTCCGTTTCCTCAATCCCTGTCCGGAATGAGTAGCAAAGGACTATATGGTGAGGCGGAACGTTGCGACAATGGCTAATGCAGAAACATAAATATACTTATAAGTATGTAGAAAAATAGCAGATGTGTGCCGCTTATTTTATTCTCAGCTGCGATTTATTTATTTGTTGTTATTCAGAATTTACAGTTATTATTGTTTATATTCGGAAATCCGCATATGTGGAATTAAATTTTTTATCATTCTTAATATAACAAAGACAATTGTAAGGGAGTAAAGGCTTTTTACACAGTTTTTGTTATTGTACAATTCCATACACGTGAGCAATTACTGCTGGTACTTACTTATATATACATATATGTATATTTAGCTCTGAAATTAGGAGAAAGATATACGCATAAAATTCAATCCAACTGTAGAGTTAAAGCGTCAATTACAATAATAAAGACAAACAAAGAGAAATTGGGATTGGTTTAACAAAAGTGAAACTGGTCAGTTATTCGCGGAGCGCTCAGTTGGGTGGATTATAAAAGCTGCTTGTGTGAAAAATAGACGATTTCAGCTATTATATTTACGTGAGCACTAAAAATAAAAAGTGAACAGTGTTATATTAGTTTTAAATTTTGGAAATGCAAAGAACAAAATAAATTTTGTTTCTCCATCGTTTGGTAGGGTTTGACAATCTAGCTATTTGCTATATATTATCTATCTGAAACTTTGCTTAGGGAATCGTGTATCCAACACCCTTTCATAAGTAAGTTTGACCATTCACGCTCTTTCTCATTCGTATGTACATACGCTTAATACGGAATACCCCCAATTAAAAGAGTCTTTAGTATAAGTGTACACGTACATATGTATGTATGTATATGTTTTCTATTATCAATCAGGAAAAGTAGAAACTTCAATTATTATACTTTTAATTTTCAAAAGATAATATATTCTTTCTTATGCATATATGTATATGTGTGTGCATGTGGTGCATATCTTCCGTTCGCAATCACATTATCCAAAATCAATTTTCGCATGTTTTCTGATGGAACAATGGAGACTACTTGCTGATAATGAACCGCAGACAATCATGCACCAGTTCATTGGAATGAGGCTGTCTTGTTTACTCAAAGTTTAAATTGACTCATTTCTTTATAAACTTGTATTGCTACGTGGGTTGCCGTTTACATTTCGGGATTAGAGAACAAACGATTAACCTCTGCTCTAATTAAGGTATCTCCAACACATTCATTCTGAACGCTTCAATCGCATCTTCAGGTGTCCAACTCTTTTATGTACGGAAAGAAAAATAAGTCATTCGGAGGACTCATTAAATTGAAAGTTCAAGTATTCAAGAATGAAATTGTTTCAGTCGATGTTTGAGTACTCGCATTATGATGAAGAGTGATCCGTCTTCGGCGGTTGGTTTTCCTAATTTCTTGAAAGATAACTGCCAAACAAATAATTGTGTAACATTAAAAATTTACTGTTCTGTGTTGTTCTAGTGGCATGGTTTAGATACATAGGTCCAGGTCATGGACGTGTCTCGAAGCACAGCTATCCTATTTTGAACACTTCTCCCGACCAGTCGACACCAGCATTTTTTTGAGCGATCGACAAATTGCGTGGCGATACTGTATTATTAGTTTGCGCACAGCGCCAATAATTTCCGGAACAACAATAGATTTTGGACGATCTTCACGAGATTCTTCTTGGAGTGAAGTGCGACCTCGATTGATTTACTATACTCTACTATACCATCGATAAACAGTGGCGTATGAGAAAGCTTCTTCGCCAAAAATTGAATTAAGCTCATCGATGCACTGTTGCTGAGATAATTCCATTTGGCCAAGAAGAATATTTCAAGTTACTGTAAACAACACAGGTTGACAGGTAGTCAAAACGTTTTGTATAACATCAAAAATGTCAAACTTTATAATGAAGTTGTCAGTTGCTAGATTGAAACACCATGGTTGCCAAATAATATAAAAACCAACCTACCTACTATAATTTGATGCCTATTATATGCCTACAACCAAACACCCTTTATTTATGTATTTATAAACATAGTTGCTAACATACCCTAAGGAGCATGATATTTATCGAATATCCGAAAAAATATATTTAACGTTCATACATACATATGTATGTACAGTGTAAGCCGGGTAAAAATAAATAATTACAGTTGGAGGATAACTAATGAGAAAATACTTATATCTTTAGTATAATATCATGAATTTCGAAAACTTATTATAGTTTAAAGTTAAAAGTTTGCTTAACTTGATCTGGATTTGCCTGCTGGGTGTGTTCAAGCGTAAAAATACATACATACGGTATGTAGAGTATGTATGTTTGGTATGTGGCATGGTTGGAAATTGTCGTATTAACAGATTGTACTTGCTTGAACCAGAGAACGTTTTACATTCTCTACTTGAACACAGTTGAACGCGATCACCGGAACAGAACAAACGCGCTGGAATACAAAAAATAGAAGTAAATTCATATAAGATTATTTAACTCAATAATGGCATAAAAAGTCTTTAATTAATATTTATCTATAAAAATACATTATTTCAATTTTCTTCTGGTGAGCAATTCAAAAATACAGACAAACTTTAAACTAGCATAAGTGAATCATGGCTGAAGTCGGACTTACGGTATACATATGTAGGTCGATAGATGAGATATTTTATATTGTCACTTACTAAATCTAAAGATCCAATAAAGGAGTGGTAAATTAAGTATAGCATTTGCCTAGTTGAAAATAGATATCTACACCACAAAGACTAAGCTTTTGAGTGTTTATGCGCTCATCTATGTGTTAATATTAATTTAGTTCCTTGCCCATACATTATTTATATAATATAATAATATATCTATATTTTTAGGTAAGTGTGTACCATATTGACATAGTATTATTTTGTATTTTATTATGTATATACATATGTTTTGTTTGTTTGGCGTTTGTAAGTTCCTTACTGTAATATTTAATATTCATTAAAAAAATTATATTTTTAAATTTACTATATTCAGCTTTAATACAAATTTTTTTGCAACTTCGGATTAATTTTCCCTAAAATCAATAGCTTGCATAATCAACTCCTTTCCTTCTTAATTTTTGGAGAATACTTAAATAAGTGGAAGTACAGCAGAAAAATTTAATACCGATATGTACATATCCACCATACATATTTATTTTTTTGGAGTCAAAGCACACGCAAATACGAGTATTTATATATATATAATTTATATATGTACAAGTGCCTAATGTAATGCATTAGCAACATTACGAGCACATTTTCTCATAGATTCCATATATGCATGTACATACATATGTATGTGTATAAGTATAGTAAATTTTAAGGTGAACGTGTCGCTAAAAATTTAGTTTATTCCTTTAATGTGTGAAGCGATTGTGAAATTAGAGGACTATTCTAAATTAAGTAAACCGCTATAGTTGCAAGTTCTATGTTATTTAAAAAAAAAACATGATGTGGGTATTTAAATCAATTTATGTTCAAATAAATAGAGTAATTGAAGCAAATATAAAATGAAATTAACTTATGAATGTACATCGACTTCTTTCCGAGTTGTATGATTTGATTTCAATTAATTTTTAGAGGTGAGGTTTGTGTAAAGTTTTATTTCCACAGCTTCATTGACTCTCGATTTATATACTCTAACCAATTTTAACACTGTAGTAAAATAAAGTGCAATTCGTCAAAATTTCGTCAAAATTTCATTGGTCCAGCACTTACTGGGATACAGGATTTCACCCAAAGGGTAGGCGGTGAGACGCTCTTGTCTAATATTTTTATATAAATGTTATATGTGGAGTGGGCGGGGTATCACCCACAATTTTGGAATATAAATTATATTTGTAATTTTGGGATTGAAAATAATGTTTAAATTAGAAAATTGGCAAAGCTAACCAAATTAGTCCAATCTGAAATTTAATCTTATAAATTATTCAATACCCAGCTTCTTATGAAACTAAAGAAAATGTATTCAAAGTTTCATCACGCAATCATACGATTTACCCATGCTCGGATTTGGACATACTTCGTCTTCTTCTTTATTGGCGTAGACACCGCTTATGCGATTATAGCCGAGTTAACAAAAGCGCGCCAGTCGTTTCTTCTTTTTTCTACGTGGCGCCAATTAGATATTCCAATCGAAGCCAGATCCTTCTTCACTTGGTCCTTCCAACGGAGTGGATGTCTTCCTCTTCCTCTGCTTCCCCCGGCGGGTACTGCGTCGAATACCTTCAGAGTTGTCCATGCGGACAACATGACCTAGCTCTCTTTTAATCAGTTCAAGCTCTCTCTAATCCTTGCTGACGATTTTCAAGCAGAGGTTTCGTACAGTTTCATAGCAAATTTGTAATTGCGGAAACTCATTTTTGTATGTAATCCAATAACAATTTAAAAAAAAAAACTGTAAAAATGTATGAATGATCAGTTGAAGAGGTCTGGAAGTATCATTTAGTTATAAGTTGACAAAATTTTTAGATATACATATATCTCTTATAAAAAGAAAGTAACGGTGTTTTATATGGTGAGTAAGCTATATGTGACTTGGGGCACTCAGGACCCATAATATTTCTTCATATATTTTGTATGAAGAAGTGTTACTTTTTAACGGTTTTGGTGATTTTGTGGATTTCTAATTAGTTTCGCGTAAAATTTTCAAGTAAACAGTTCAGTTTTAGGTGTGACAAATTTAATTTTTTGAAATGAGCGAAGAATTGGCAATTCATTTGGCCAAATTACGGCGTGAATTGACGGAAGAATATTTTAAATTATTTGAGTGCTAATGATAGCTATGATGATGACGGCCGATGAAGATAAATTTGGTAGTGATAACGAATCGAACGTCGGAGATGATAATGCTCAGCCCATTAGAGATCCATGTTTCCAAAGATATATCCACGAGGATCTCACTATGTATGGAAAGGTTTGGATCTAAAAGCGATGCCTTACGCGTTTCCCAGAGTTTCTCTTGAGACGAAAAGGAAAGCTAAAAGAGTAATACCGGCAAATATGAATCAAACAGTTCCCAAATAATAAGACATCGGCAAGACACAAATGCGACTATATGCTTTTATTGCAATAATTTTATTCTCCGGTGCTGAGACGGCAAACTTAGTTTATGCTGAGGATCTTTTTCACAAAACGAACATGCCCTTTATAGAGCAGGGATGTTACCGGGTTTATTGGAGCAATTATGCCATTTTATACGCATTGATGATTCCCGAACTCGCGCTGAGAGATTCCGATACGACAAATTGGCGCCTATTCGTCATGCATGGATATTATTCTTGACGATACGACCCGTAACAGGTAAAGAATTGACAATTAACGAGCAGCTAACAGCTTGAATTAGATCTTAGTATTGGAGTACCAATAAGTCTGAGCAGCGCAAAATATTTTTGAAAGCAAAAACCGATGCAAAACAAAAATTAATTCTACAACTAAAATTGCAATGGACGCGATACATTTCAAACGGTTCCTGCAGTGGCGAGCTCTTCTCCAGCAATACAGGTTTTCTTTCATAATTAATTTTAATTCAAAGTTAGTTTTTTTTTTTGTGAAACCTGCAAAACTGCTAAGATCGATAATAAAACAACAGCAATTATTGACCTTTGCCTTATTCCGACATGCACCAAACACTATATAAGGACGTGTTGCTATGAAGTTTCCCACTCAAAATGTATCAGAAAGGCAGCGAATATTGCACTCATTTGAGCACTTCGAAATTAGAACCTTGTTTGATTTTATATTTTTCTATAAAAGTGCTTCTATTACTAGCAACAAACACAAATTGCATTAAACTATTTCCATAAACAAGCGAAATATCGGCGTTTCTATAAAACAAAATTTTTTTTTAAGTCTAAATGTCTATACAAAATATATTCCTGGGCACTGAGTGCCCATGTCACGAGATTAAGTTGTAGAGCCGTGTCAAGGTTCTAAGGTTAAGTTAGTTTTGTATCGCTGCTACAGTCACATAACCCTCAAGTAATTAGTCTATTTGACCAGTACTTAGTAAATACTTTATTCTATGTTTGCAAAGTTACAAATAAGTTGAGTTTTTTCTCTTTTCAGTTCTTCCAGGGACAGCTGTACCTTTTTTCTTCTCTCAATTAGTGAGATGGCCGAAGATCGTGAATTGATTGCAAAGTATGGTAAGCCGATGCCGTATGATAGGAATTTCCGCGGACCAGAATGGCGAAATCGAAGTTGCACTGATGTACCGTGTCTGCTGATTTTTATCCTATTTTTAGGCGGATGGGGTTTTATTGCACAATATGCAGTGCGCAATGGAGATCTCAATAAATTGGTTGTGCCAACAGATTCATTCAATCGGAAATGCGGAATCGATTCATCGGTATTGGATAAAAAGTATTTATTTTTTTTCGATTTGGGAAAATGCATCGATCCAGTTGTACCTCTTACGGGCTGCCCTACACAACAAGTTTGTGTAGAAAGCTGTCCTACACAGACTTTTATCTGGGATAGAATGAAGAATAGTCTCCCACTTGCTGAATTAAGGAAGCGTTTGATATGTCTGAGTGACGTAGACAAAGACAACCTTCGAACCTTAGACAACATGCAAGCAGCCATTGACCAAGAACGATGTGCGCGTGGATATATGAAGAGTGCGCCATTTTTGAATCGTTGTATGTGGGAGCTTTCTCCTGAGTTGTGTGAACTAATACCTTCCTTCCTCCTGCCTCGTAATAGACGCGAGGTAAATGGGTCAAACAATGAAACAGGAAAACTTCTCGATACATTAGTGGGTGATAACTCAAATTTGATAGAAATGAGGTTGGAAGCGCTTGCCTTGACAACAATACCTGAATCTAGTGATAAATCGAAGCAACAGCTCGCTGAAGAACCCATGTTACAATGTCGTCGTCGTACCGAGCAAGCCGAAACTATCAAGCAAAAGGTACGTCAAGCTGACACGCACCTGGCTAAGTTGGTAGGTAATATGGTTGCACACTTCTACAATGGAACACATGATGCACAACAGCTTGGGGAAGAGATAGTGGAAGATATTATGAACTCATGGTTAATTGTGCTGATGGCTTTAATGTGCACTTTGGTTGCTTCTTTGATTCTAATCGCCTTGATGCGATGGTTCGCTGCCCCGATTCTGTGGTTATCTGTTCTAGGTGTTTTGATCGGACTTGGCTTGGGAATTTATTACAGCGTTAAGCAGTATCGTTTTTGGCATGAAACCGCATCTGTACCCAACCATTCGATTAACTTGGAGGCAGCGGTAAAGAATATATTTCAAGATGCTAACACTTGGCTGTATTTAAGCATATTTTTAAGCATCAGTTTTGTTAGTATTCTACTCCTGGTAATCATTCTACGTACCCGCATCAATATAGCGATTGCGTTAACAAAAGAAGGTAGTAAAGCGGTGTCAAGCATTATATCAACTGTTTTTTTCCCAATCTTTTCGTGGATTCTTTTTATTTTGGCTGTTAGTTTTGCGGTTGCAGTTGGTCTTTATCTAGGCACTATTGGTAACCCGTCCTTCCGTATGATACGTCAATTGGACCCTAACAGCGTGACAGGTGTTTCAAGCGAGATTTGTGAATGTGTTGGTGCGGCAAGCGAATATAAAGTAGGAGGACATTGTGACCCTAAAATTTTTCAACAGAACTGCTTCACTAATATCGATCAGCACATCCCTTGTAAACAAACCTCTTGTAGCTTCGCTGAAATTGAGCATCCGCCATTTGTGACATGGTCCATATGCTATAATGTGTTCGGTTTCTTTTGGTTGACATTCTTCATTGCGGCCTTTAGTGATATGGTGTTGGCACTTACTTTCGCAACTTGGTACTGGACCTTCAGGAAGCGAGAGGTGCCCTTCTTTACACTAGGACGGGCTTTCCGTCAAACCATCTTCTATCATCTCGGCACTTTGGCGTTTGGCTCATTAATTCTTGCCGTGTGTCGCATGATACGCGTGGCTTTGGAATATATCGATTCTAAACTGAAGAAGTACGACAATTCAGTAACACGAGCCATACTGTGCTGCATGAAATGCTTCTTTTGGTTACTTGAAACTTTCTTACGCTTTCTGAACCGCAACGCGTACATCATGTGTGCTATACACGGCAAGAATTTTTGTGCCAGCGCCAAAGATGCTTTCAATTTGATTATGCGTAACTTTTTGCGAGTAATCGCCGTTGATAAAGTCACTGATTTCTTGTTCTTTTTATCGAAATTATTATTAACTGCTGCTGCTGGCGTTGGTACCTACTTCTTTGTGGTACGTAGTCCACATTTAATACAACTGCACTATAATGCTGTGCCAGTAACGATTGTTGTGTTAGCGGCTTTTATTATGACAACCGTCTTTTTTGGCGTCTATTCTATGGCGGTGGATACACTCTTCCTTTGTTTTCTGGAGGACTGTGAACGCAATGATGGCTCGGCAGAAAAGCCTTTCTATATGTCGAAACAGTTAAGGCGAATATTAGGCAAAAGAAACCAGTTACCACGTCCTATGAGTAGTAGTTAAGAAACAACCTTTACAATAGGTTATGCTCTTTGGTGCTTGAAGTTGACGAACCATATTATTGCTTAGTGGGTAAATCTATAGCGCAGATATTTTATGAAAATTATTTATATTTGTATAAATATACCGGCTTTGTTGATATTCGTGTCAGTGGACATTAAAGTTGGAAAGTTTTTGAAAAACTGGAAAAAGGTTGTGTGAAAACCAATGGCAATATAATCTAATTACATAAATATATACTTACATATGCATACTCAAAAGAATTTGTTAAGAAAAAATGCAATATGAAATATAATGTTGTGCATTACGTATATATGTATGTACATATATAGACACATACACATACATAAATAATTTCGTTACAAATAATTATATACCATTATTCATAATTTAAATAATAAGTTAAGAAAAAAATGCAATATGAAATGTAGTGTACACATTGTATATTTAAACGGGTACACTTACATAATAATGTTACAAATAGTTCCAAACAAAAATATTTTCTTTTATAATATTAGAGGGAAAAAGACAGAATGAAAAAACAATAATGAGTAAGTTTTTAATTAAACGTGGTAGTTTTACCTACCATCTTTCATGGGTGCTTGTTTCAAGTGATTTTTTATGCGATTTTGCTCAGAGTGATTTATTGAAAATATATACATTTACAATCCATCAATGTATGCCAAAATATTTATTAAAGCGAACTTAGTGTTACATATAAGATTAAACATTTACAAATTTACTTATTTATGTTATATTTTTTATGAAAGTAAATAAAAACGTAAAAGGATGTGTGAAGAGGCAAAGTTTTTTTGATTTATTTTGTTAATATTATTGAATACGTTCCGGAGATTTTAAACGCATTAACATTGGAAACTAATTAAAATATATGAAAACGTTGTGTGCAATCGCATTTCTCAAAAATTTTTGCTCAACAATTTTAAATGATTATACTGAAACAGTGACTAGACTGAATAGAGGGTTAAACTAAAGAAGTCTGAAAATTTTACTTATTACAGTTTAAATAAGTAATTAACACACGTGTACATTAATAAACATATAATTTTTAACGTATTTACTTTATGTACTAATTTTGCACAAGATATTTATTATGCTCTGAATTCGTAACAAATAAACCAGAAGACAATGATATTTTTTGTGTACTTAATAAATAAAAATTAAGGAATTGAATTAAGAAGGTTTCTCTGCGAAAAGAGCCATGTGAGTAATATATAACATGCATTTGTAATAAAAAAGTATACAAATATTGTACCTAATTAACGAATGAATAACTTTAATATCAATTCTATATGAATACCAAACACTCGTACAACTATCTGGCTACCGAGTTCTTTAAAATTCTACAAACTATTGTGAATAGGTAAATTCTTATTGTTACTGGTGGAACTGGCATGTTGATTTTGGTAATTTTCTTGAAAATACAAAAAATCGTAAAGGCTGGTTCGATATAAATTTGGAAAGACCTATATTTTATTTCTTTGTTTTTAGTGTAATTAAAATAAACGGTAAACATGATTATTCCAATTCGTTGCTTTACATGTGGTAAAGTAATTGGCAACAAGTGGGAGTCGTATTTAGGACTTTTACAAGCCGAATACACGGAAGGGTAAGTGCGGTGAAAGTAAATGGAAATTTGTGATCTCAAAATATATTATTTTTAGTGATGCTTTGGATGCTCTCGGTCTTAAACGATACTGTTGCAGACGAATGTTATTGGGACATGTTGACTTAATTGAAAAATTACTAAATTATGCGCCCTTGGAAAAGTAGTTATGTTTGGATGGAGCACGTTTTTTCACATCTTACCTTTTTGATTTAGAATAAAATATGTATAGCAAGTAGCAACGATTTATTAAATATATGTCTTATCAATTTGTAAAAACGCTATTTTAAAGTTAAAGACTTTTAACGAATGAGAAAGGCATAAAAGTAGTGCATGACACTTGTACTCAATATCGAAGAAGTGTCTTTCGTGGTAGTGTCTTCGTCAGCAGTTGATATTGGCATTTACTGTTGATGTTTGATGGTTTCTAATCGTCTATATTTTATCCATGAACCATGGTTGACCATTGTGTTCTCGACGACGCGTTAAAATTTCACAACCATTATCTGTTACCAGTAGTGTTTGTTCAAATTGTGCAGAATAGAGCCCATCTCCAGTCACGGCTGTCCAGTTATCGGGCCATTGTTCATTTTTGGAGACGCCTTCTGATATCATTGGTTCAATTGTAAAGCAATGTCCAGCTTTCATAACACCAACAGCGGAGTTCTCTGAAATAATATGTAATCATAAGGTAGTTATATCATGGTGCAGAAAAATACGTTTGTTTAACATACTGGCATAGTGAGGTACATTAGGCGCAGTATGGAAAAGCCGATGGATACCGTGGCCACAGTAGCTCTTCACAACGCTGAAACCATGGGGCGCCACATGTTTTTGTATAACGTTGCCGATTTCCCTATATTTTACGCCAGGCCTGATATAAAAACATAGTTTTAAGCACTGTTAATAAGAATTTTTTTATTTGTACCTCACCAATTCGATGGCTTTGCATAGCGATTCATATGTGACTCGTACCAACTTCTTGTGTTTTTCGGAAACATTACCAACTAAGAAGGTTTCGTTAAGATCACCATGAAAACCGTGATGGTAGACGGTAACATCAATGTTACAAATATCACCATCTTGTAATGGACGCAAATCAGGTATTCCATGACATATTACCTCATTAACTGAGGTACAACAAGACTTTGGAAAATTGTAATAGTTTAGTGGAGACGGATAACAATCGCGTTCAATTGCAGCCTCGTGCACGAGTCGATCCAACTCGTCCGTGGTAACTCCGACTTCTACAGCTTTTCCTGCCTCATCCAAACATTCGCGACCAAGTCTACCAGCTACGCGCATAGCTTCGATTTCGTCGTCATCCAGTACTTTAATTGAAGTGTTTCCTCGCATGGCTTCTTCCGATGCAGCCCGACCAGATGGATGATCTGCATAGTCGGGCCGCTCTATATTATCGGGCACGTTGCGTTTAGTTGTCTGCGGATATGGGCGTAACTTACCAGTAAAACCGTAATGTGGCCAAGGATTGTAACCAGCTTCAGTGTTATCTACCTTTGGTTTTCCTGAGCCCTCTAAAATTGTATAATTGTCCTTCAAGTTAATGATATAATGGTCGTTATGAAATGTAGTATATTTACCGGCCAGAGCATGGATAACTTTATGCTCTTTCCAGAATCCTTTAAAACAAACTTGGGAACAAAAATAGGATCCTGGTATACCTAACTTCAAGCATGTTGGACATTGCAGCGTAGCTTCTTTGCCACAATCTAACGTTTCACATTTATGAGCCATTGTATTATCGATATTTAGTTGTGTAAAAAGTACTTTGTGAACTTAACCAATCTAAGATATTTTTGTTGCAGCCAACCAAATTCCTATTGAGGTTGAGATTTGACATTTGTGCCCACTGTCAAAAGTAAATAGTGCTGGTCTTCGATAGAAAATGCATTATATTGTGGAATCAACTCTGTGTGGATGATAACTTGCAGAGAAATGAAATTCACGTTCCAAAATTCAAACGCTGTCGTATATATAAATTGATGATTTCAAAAATGACTAGTCCATATTGATAGCGAAGTAGCAGTTTTCCGTTTACCATTAATGATCAGCTTTTTGAGATTAAAAAAATAATATTTTAGGGTTAATTACTGTGCGTAAATATTAAACTTTTTAAACTTTAAAATTATTTGTTAAGATGACTTACTTAATTCCCTGCAAGCTACTTATCAGCTAAATACTCAATAGGGCGGCGCATAGGAAATTTCTGTTGAAGTTCCTTTGAGTTTCTTAAAACGCAACTGATAATTTTAATCGCAACTCTTGTGAACGCATGATCACTTATTTCTCGTTTACGCAAAGGCTTTATGAGTTGCTCGGCGTATGTACGTACATGCATGTTGTTTTTCTGCGCTAATTCTTTGAATGCGTTGGAGTTTCAGTAGCTTTGATTTACTGGGTTGTTATATTGCTATTTAAATAAAATATATATTGTATGTGTAATTTTAATGAAGTAAACCAAATGATAAAGAATAGGGTTAGAAATACTTAATTATCTATATACGTATGTATATACATACAGTGGCTCACAGCTTATTTGACCCAACATATATTTTCAAACATAAATGAGTATACATTTTTAACTAAAAAAGATAGTAAAAAAATAAAAACGCAGTTCCTTTAGTAGATATTGAAGAAATAACAAAGCGCTTAAATTTTATTAAATTCACAAAAGGTTTCATATTTATTCAACTTAAAAGAAAAATACTGATTTTTTCAATGTCACAGCTTATTTGACCCACTGCATTTAATGCACAGCTTCTCTTCCAAGAAGCTTAGCCTAACGGTGCTTTTTTTTGTTTACAATTTGCTTATTACATTCGCACATAGAATCCTTTCACTTTTGATTGGATTTTGTCAAGAAAGCATGTGTTACAACCATGGGAAGACGCACAACGATCGAACAACGAGAATTAGTCCTTAAAGACTATAAAAGTGGACTTTCTCGACGAGAAATTGCAAAAATTGTGCATATACCAGATGGTACAGTAAAAGCCATTATCCACAGATTCGTTTTCGAAAACCGCATCGAAAATAAAGGAAGAAAAGCGCCAAACAAGGTTTTTAGTAAAACTGATGAACGCTATATTGTGCAAAAAATTAAAAAAAAACCCAAGGATTTCAGCCCCAAAACTAGCCAGTGAGATGCAGGACATAACCGGCAAAACATTTTGTACGGAAACTGTCCGACGTGTTTTAAGAGAACATAATTTTCACGGCCGAGTTGCTCGCAASAAGCCGTTTATTAATAAAAAAAATAGAGACAACCGCTTGAAGTTCGCAAAGGAGCACATAAAAAAGAATCCAGGATTCTGGAATGATGTCATTTTTGCTGATGAGTCCAAATTTAATATTTTTGGATCCGATGGACGTTCATATGTGTGGAGGAAGCCCAATACAGAGCTTAAAGATAAGCACCTAAAGCCG